AGGAGCACTTGGACCTTGCAACGTTGGGACAGAGCTCATATATTTAGCCGCCAAAGGGAACGTGAAGGTGGTAGCACTGAGATAAGCACAGGGTTTCCCCCAAAACAAACCCTGAAGCTGTACTTTGGGGGGTTCATCCCACCTTTATCCAGCCTGCATTGAGACAAGGGTACATCTCATGGAGTCTCACCTAGATTTCAATGGTAGGAGTCTTGGAAGATCACGGGGGGAGGATCTAATGGGCAAACCCCGCAGTAGGCTAGGTGGAGGCACTGCTTGGCACTACCCACACCACATCATAACGCTGTGTTTCGCTAGCAGTTGGATACGAAGATGACTTTGCTGAAGAGAAGTCATCCTTTCAGAAGTGCAGTCTTCAGCTGTGGGTTTTGCCCAAAGTAAAACTGAGCCCCCAGGGGGAAGCATATTTCAAAACACAGTCAGTACTGCAACGTAATACAGGCATCGTCTATTTTAGGGTTTTACACAAATTACAAATAACTTAGGAAGCTTTTGGCATGGGCAAAATTTAAAATCCATGTACCGCTTTCTAAAAAAAGAGTAGAAATGAAGTGTCCAGCTACACTTCGATGTAAGTCTGCCAGCACCCTAGTTGCACCCTGCAGTCTTTTTAATTTCAGAGGAGGTTTTTCAATGTTACAAGTCTCTCTTTGAATCCATTTTTCATTTTGTTAAAGGAAACTTAGATACAAACACCTGGATATTTTCAAGTGGAGTTTTGTATTTTCTTTCTGTTCCTATTGAAGTCTACAAAATATTCCAGCCATGTGTTGCATGTAAGGAAGAAAATAAGGAAAAAGACAATAAAAGAAAGTGGAAATTTACAAGCCCAGTTAAGCAGAGAGGTACTTAAAACTGGCCGATACTTGTTTTCATGCTTTTACTATCACTCTAATTTTAGTTATGTTATTTTATGATGCCCATTTAGGGCCAATCTCCCATTGTTCCAAGCGTTATTCTAATTTATACTGGTGTCATTGGTTTCAGAAAGGTATCAATCTTTTTCTTGAGCCCCTCTGTGGCTGAAATAAAATGTAATTTGTCTTTTGATATAATCCAGAATTCAGAGAGTTTGCTGGAGAGAGAGCTTTATCTTCTGCAGCTCACGCAGGCAAAGCTGTCTCTGAAACAAGTGCAACTGCGGATGCGGTTCCCGATCCACGTGAGGTTTCTACACAAGGATGCTGTGGATTTTGGCCTTGATTCTGCAACTCTTACTTATCTCTGTAGCCCACAGAAGCACCATTGCAGCTGGCACTCAGGCTGACTTGAGAAGATCCCTGTGGGCTTTGCAAACCCTCCTTTGCTTTAGGGATTTATTTGTTATTTTCTTTTTATGTTGCAGTGAATTGCAATCCAGTGCAATTTCCCGTTCTTTCACGGTGACTTGTGGGAAAATTTTATCTATCCTTTCCCAACATATGTCAGAGGCAGAAATAAGTTATTAAAGGACTAGCAGAACTTGACTGGTGCTAGCCCCTGCCTGCACTTCAGAGCAGGCAGATTAGCTGCTGACATCTGCAGCAGACAAGCTGCATTAGCAGGAGTTTGTAATATAAGCCCTATAACTAACCAGCAGCTTGCTCCATCACTCTCAAAAGTTTAGCTGATGTTGTTGT